CTTCCGGAGCGCTCCTTGTCCTCAGTGTCGAAATCGCCATTTCTTAAAGCGTTTAAACCAATCTTCACAAGTAGTTTTCGATTGTGCATGTTCGCCGTAGGCTTTCTCAAGCAAACGGCGTGCTTCAGCTGCATTTTCTTTCAAGTTGAAGCAGAAAAGCAAAGCTTCCCGCAAATGCTGTTTATTTGGCACAAAACTCGACATCTTTATTGTTAGAAAAAATATTTTTGCGTTGCAATATGTGTTGGTATTATGACTGGTTATTGTTGACAGATGTCCAAGTTAATAAAAAAACACAACTTTAGACATGTATATCGACTACATGTATCGTTAGCGCCATTCATGTGTGAAACCCGGAAACTTAGTTGCGCACCTAGTATATATACGCAATGCATAAAACAAACAATCAAAAGCTTTTCTCGAAAAATGGTTAACGAGATTCTCTGACATGCAGCTGAAAGAAGATCAATTTTGAATTGTTATACAGTTCCAAATCTAACTAAAATAAAATAAAAAAAAAAACACAATAATTAGTCTTCATCTGTCAAGGAAAAATATGTATTTCACGTTAAAATTTATTTCATTTTTGCTTTTTTTATATTTATATGTACCGCGTTGGAAAATTTTCATGTGATTTGTTATCTATATTCAATAAAATATGAGGTTTAGTATTCCATCTGCATCGATAAAAATTAATATTTTATCAAAAAATTACACAACATAAATAAGAAATATAAGATGTAAAAAAACAACAAAAATTTGAAAAACAGTCCTAGTATAAAGTCCGTGTAAAAATATTAATTTGTTACAAATACATTTGTACTGCAACGTCCAACTTACTCAACACATAGAAATAAAAACAAATTTCTTTATTTTTGGAGGATTGCGCTAAATGGACTTACATGCTGAGCCTCTGTCCCGTTGTAGTGCATTATCCAAAAGAAGATAAATGAATCGCGGACAGGAAGGAGACGAAAAGCGAGAAGGGATAAAGCAAAAAAAAAGAAGTAAAACGATTGTCAAATCCTTTCGTTGTTCTACGACGAGAAGGGCTCGTAATGTCGCTCGTCAAACGTGGTTTTTCAGCGGAACACTAAAGGTCCTACATCTCTTTATGCTTATTTGCAGCTGACAATCGCGCTTTTTCCTACTATAATAAAGAACTCACTGTCGTCTGCAGTTTAAGGTGAAAACTCGGCGTCGACGCAGACAACACGAATGAATGCGTAATCGACATTTTCGGTCTAACGAAAGGATGAACACCGCTATTGTTAAGCCTCGATAGCACTTCAACGCGTCTTGCGTATACTTCACGAAATGACAGGGATAATACAATGAATATAATGGGGCACTACCCATCAGTGATAACCGTATTGTTTGCGAAATAATTTGGGCAAACAATGCATATTTATTGTTTTGTGGATTATATCAATGGATTTTCACAATGTAACAATATCGCTTTGCCCGATGCGCCTAATTTAATCGTTAAAAATTTTATCATAAAGTGCATGATTATTGTAAAAATTTTGCAAAACTTATGTTTTCTAATTAGTTCGGATAATTTGGATCATGTTGTAAATGCTTTTTCTCATTTATGAACTCCTTGGTAATTTGAAAATTTTGCTCTAATCATACTCGAGAAGTTTCTTTTTCAACTTGTGGCACATTAAAAACAAAAAGTTTAATCGCGAGCTTAAGCTCATGTACCGCGAAAATAAATGCCTTATACGCATAAGATAATGTTTCAGTATTCTAGCGACGGGGAATGCAAGGAAGCAAGGTTGGACAAGGAATGCAAATCATGATCGAACGAGACTGCATTGATTCCAGTATAAACTCAACCCTTCCAGATGAAATCATACCGGGAAATTCTCGTGACGAATTCCAGCAATGTCGTCTGACGGATACAGACTGTATTGGATTGCGGAACATTCGAACAGCAAAGCTTTTCATTCGTAGAAGGATTAGCGTACGGGAGCACGGGAGCTAAATTACAGCAGCAAATTTATATGAAAACTAATAAAAAAAGGAAAGATTCGGATTTCCTTTTGTTAAGAAGAACCGCAGAAAAGTTTTGCTTACAAATAGATTACAATTCTGCTATTGCATATTGTTGATATCAATGAACCAAGAACAAATTATCGTTTTTTTTTCTATTCTAAATTAACAGACCTAAATAAATTATGTTAAATATATACTATCAAATTGAACAAATTAAAAAATCTATATAAAGAACGAGAATTATATAAGAAAATAAAATATAATCAACAATACGATAATTTATCCTAATTTTCTTTAAACTATCCATCCATATTTATCATTTAAAAAATTAGTATTTACATTTTAGAGTTAAAATTACAATATAGATCATTATATAATGGAATCTATTCAACAGACTTCTAAACAATTTGCAATTGTAGACATGCACCAAATGTCAGTGTCAATTTACCGACAACATCAGAAAAGGAATAGCTATATAGTTGCAACCTAAAACCTGCAGATTGCAGCACTGAGCAGGGATCAGTAGCGTCACAAAAAAAGGATGACCATTCTTAGATTTTTTCTATTTCAAGCCTGTGCTATCGATCGAAGTTAAGAATACACAGCAGATTCGTCGGTAAAATCTATTCCAAAACATTATGGCGACATGTCTAACGCCACTTGTTGGAAATGTGCGTTCTCTTGACACGTCGACATTTGTGCTTCGCAATTGTTTTACAAGAATAACAGATGATATAAATGGATCGTAGCTCTAGATAACATTCATCACGATAAGTCATTTTGAATGACACTATTCTCGATAGAAGTTATTCGTTCGTCGTGTGTTATCGAACATACCAAAGTGTGACATAGACGCAACGTTTCCAAAAATTTGACGCATTCGCCGAAATATTTCTGTGATGTTATAAAATTATGAAGATTGTTTGCATTGTATCGCAAATGTCATCAATATTTTGGATATTGATAACATAAATTAAAAACACGAAACTCCTAATGTCGATTTTGCAAAATGAATCTTCGATATGACATCTGTTCTGTTTTAGTTTTATTTTTTATTTTAATACGTGCCACGGCAGAACAGCAGGATGTTCAGGTAATTTCATGAATAAGTATTTTATGGGCTAAAGAGAAAAAGTAATATTTAAAAAAATAAAAGGTTCTATTATATACGTTCTAAATTTGTTATTTTCTGTTGGATCAACATTCTGTATATTTTCAAATTAGATTTTATATAAATTATTAATTTTTCTAAAACAATAAAAATTATTTGGTCAAATTACATGTAAATATGTAAGAAATTTCTTTTGTATTATAGCATTTATTACCCGATATCAAGTTTAATTCTAATGAATATTCTGAATATCTTGAGAATGAGGATAGAGATAGAGGATCCTTGACACAACCAGATGAAAAACAATATATAAAAGATAATTCATATTTGCAAGTTAATAACCATCTAGATAAAGAGAAATCAATAACTGCAGATGCCTTGGACAAAAGTATGTATTTACTCACTTATTTAGAAGTTTCTATGAGTAATACTTTCTTTAATTTGTTATATTTTTATCAGACATAGTGTGGGATGCACAATGGGCTTCACAATTGAAACTTAATCAAATATCAGCAGTTTCTATGGATAGAAAAGGCAATGTTGCTATATTTCATAGAGCAGATCGTATCTGGGGACCTTATACTTTCAATACTGAAAATAAGTTTAATCCAAATAATGGGCCAATAACAAAAAATACAATTGTCCTCTTGGACAAAAATGGAAACATAGTATTAGAATGGGGAAGGAACATGTTTTATCTCCCACATGGTTTGACTATTGATCAATCTGGAAATTATTGGATTACTGATGTAGCGATGCATCAGGTATTCAAGTTTGACGCTCAAGATATTGAGAAAAATATGGATGAGTTGAAACGTGCACAGTTTAGTTCAGAGACAGATGTGCCTAACTATCAAACTATCAAACATGCATTATTCAAAAATAGCATACTGAAGCCATCCATAATTTTGGGAGAGGCTTTTGTTCCTGGTAATGACGAAAGAAGATTTTGTAAACCGACTGCTGTTGCTGTACATAATAATGGTGATTTCTTTGTCAGTGATGGGTATTGTAATTCTAGGATAATTAAGTTTAACAAAAACGGGGAACGGATTTTACATTGGGGACGACATTGGGGTGCTGGAGGTAAGAATAAATGATAAGAATAATACTTATGCCGATAACGATGTGCAATATCTAATTTAATTCTATACTTTGCTTTATTTTAGAGCCTGTTTATTCGCAGTTGCCTCCACCAAATGCATTTCTCGTTCCACATGCTTTAGCACTCGCGAGTGAGTTAAACTATATTTACGTAGCTGACAGAGAAAACGGCAGAATATTATGTTTCTTTGCTAGCAATGGCACATTCCATAAAGAGTACAGGCATCCTGCCATTGGTACAAAAATTTACAGTGTTGCTTACGCTCGAGAAAAATTATATCTAGTTAATGGACCTGATCCGTATACAAACAATCCAGTAACCGTGCAAGGCTTTGCGCTTGATATTTATTCCGGAAAGATGCTATCAATGTTTGGACCCAAGAAAGGCATGAATAATCCACATGATCTCTATGTGACGGAAAATGGTTCTGAGATATATGTAGTAGAATTAAACAGTCAAGTAATTTATAGATTTCTACAAGGTACACAATATTGTTAAATAATGAGTATGATTTATAATTCCTTCAAATCTATCTATATTTAAATATAATTTTTTTTCTTTTTAGATGTAAATGATTCAATGTATTTTGAGGATTCACAATCTACTAAACAACGTCGACCCAAGATCTTAATACATCCTGATACTAAAGATACTGATATTGAAAAAACTGACATGATAAAATTGATTCTAGGCCTTGGCTCAGCGGCAATTTCGTTTATTACAATATGCGTCGTGATTGCTGCCATTGTAGCAAGATACCAAAAAAGAGGTAGAGGAACAAGATATAATTTTGACGAACCAAAAGTTGAATTCTCTAAATTAATGAATTAGAAAAAAATATTTGTTTGACTTGGTACTTTTTGTAGATAATTTTTGTAGATATCATTTGTAGAATTTTTGTCATGCACATTTATGTTTTATTTATTTCCTAAACATTATGTGATAAATGTTATTATATAGCTAGCAATATTTATGATAATGCGATGATCTGTTTATTTTAAGTTTGCTCCTTTTTTCTTGTTTAATAAGATTTATCTTATAAACTTTACAATGTATTATATACATTGTAAATATATTATATTCTAAATATGTTATATTTAACAAGATTATAACATAGCAAGATGACAAGCGCAACATTTAATGCAACAGGAAAAAAGGAATTATGCGTCTGCTTATATTTGCAGCTGTGTTTAAAGATTTTATTTTTATTTAATTATTATTTAAGTTGCAATCACTATGTCAACAATTACCATCCTGAAATTTCAATTATACAAAAATTTATAGCAACAAAATTATATTGTTTTTATTTTTATATATTTGAAATATATGTTGGCTTATTTAAAACAATTTTACTGATTTATATGTTTTTACACTAGTAATACTTTAAAGTGCTATGCTATGCTATGCATTTTATGTACTTATGTATCCTGCAAATATATTATTTAAAATTTATGTGTTAGATATATGTATGTGTCTTGAAATTTTTTATCTCTGCAGATCTCTATGCTATATTACTGTGTGAATTGTATTATGTTTCTCAATTTTTTTCCTTTCATATTTCTTTCTCTATTTATATCTCTAGCTATATCTTTTTCAAATCTTGTATGAGTATGTCAGTTGCTTATAAATTTTTTAGCTACTGTTAAATTTTTTTAGAAGTTTTTTATTCCATCAAAGAGTTCAAATATCTATTTCTCTTCTAATCATTAAAATTTCTTCTAAATATTATATTAGAGCAAACTTTTGTATTAATAAGCATTCTTATCATATTGTTACAAGTATCAAATTTTCTTTTTTTAAATCAAATCAACTTAAAAGTCAAAAGAGGATTTATAATAAATACAATATTAATAAATTTATACATTATGTTTTTGTCCAACAAAGTAAGACAAGAATTGTCGATATCAGACATAAGTATTATTATCATCAAATGTGTAAAAAGTGCAGTTTAAAGGCAATGCAGTACAACTTAAACGAAATATCACATTAATTTGAATTTCATGCATGGATCTCTGTATTAAATTTTGACGACTCGAATAGACTTACATCATACGAATTATGATAGATACCTATAATACTTTTCGCATGTAAAGTAAATTATTCTTTGATTGTACAGGATGTTTACTTACGATGCGTAAGAGAATGCGTTGGGAAGCCGAGAGACGGGAGAATTTCAAACTATCCAGCCTGTTGGAGAATCGTCGTGGGAGAAGTTTCAAGTTTCTGGAGAAGCGGCCAAACACTCGCGATTTCAGTAAATTAAATACAGAGCCGGAAACTTCGGAAGATGAACGTCCTGAAAACAGTATCGCAAAGGTTATTTAAGACAGTACTAAATAATGTCGAAATATCGTGCATTACTATTACCAAACCGAGATGAAAATTTGCACACGGTCGCCATCGACGTCCGACGCAATTAAGAGATAGACGTGAAATGTGCGTTCGTTAGAATGTTTGAATATTTCCACCAATAAATGATGGAATCAACCTGAAGTGATTGATAGTATCAGTAGATAAAGTAGTATTGATACGCAGCGTTCATGACATTCCTACTTTACGACTACCGATAATACAGGATGATTTAGAAGCATGCTTGTTAGCATTGCTATTTATAATTATATTATTATTACATTATAATATATCTAATATTGTGTGAAGAACTTGATGAAACAAAAACAAGGAAAAAATGCTCCTTGATAAATTAACAATAAATTGCATAAACTAAAACTACATATGTAAATCGAATTATAATGAAATTCACTTTTGAGGGTTATCACACTAAGTTAATTTTACTATCATATATATATATATATATATATATATATATATATATATAATAATAATATATTTAAGTTTTAATTACATATATATTTTTAATATACTTAAAAAAATTATGACCTGTAATAAAAATTCAAATTTAAATTAAGTTATATCAAATTTTTTCAAGACATCTGAAAAAATTTGACATAACTTAATTAAATTAAATCTTTCTTGAAAGATTTAATTTAATTTTAATTATTAATTATATATATATATATATACCTATATATACCTATATATGTGTGTGTGTATATATTATATATATGTGTATATAAAATTAATAATTAATAACTCGTTACATAATTAATCCGTATAAAAAGTTATAAATGTATAAAAAATATTTTTGGTTATTTAGAGTGAATATTTCCTTCAGATAAAAAATAAATTTAAAGCAAAATTGTTTAATAAACAATCACTTAACAAATCATTTAAAATCACATTTTAAAAGATACTTGTTATTTTTTTTAATTTTCTACATATGTTAAATGTGTGTTTATTGAAATCTTTGTAAAAAAACTTTTATTTAGTCTGTTTATAAAATTATAAGAACAATACTAAATTTAAACTCAGCACAAAAACTCAATACTATTTTAAGCTAAATAATCAATATAAGATATAAATTTAATTTCACAAAATATTGATTCTTAACTCAATGTAACACTTTCTACTAAACAAAAAAATCAATGAGCACATCTCTTTAAATTTACAAAATTGATATGAGAAAAAATATACAACATAGATTACTCTTTTACATAACATTGTGAAGGCCTTGCGGACAATAGTAGACAAAATACATACGTGCATATGCAATGCGGTATGATTAAATTATTCACTAACTTCTATCACGTAAATTTTAATTTTAATACGTTGTATCAACATATCATTACAAAATGAACATTAATATAATGTATAAAAACATAAATGTTCTGATAGAAGCTTATACAAAAATTATTTTTTATCTAACTCTGTCTAACATATTATATAGATTTATCTATATACAATGTATTGCCAATATTTATATTATTAATCTGTAAAAAACTGTATATATAGTATATTTTACTTTACAAAATCAAATTGATTTCTTTTTTATTAGTACATTATTTATTATAATATTATTTATAAGCCGAATAAAATACATACGAGAGAAAGTCAAAAGGTAAAGACACATTTTCAATTGATTTAAAAATAAAAAAGTCTCTTTACTTTCTTACTTTCTCTAGTAAATATATATTAAATATAATTCTACTTTCATTTGATAGTGATATAAATGAGTGCAAATTTAAATCAATATTGTAATATATCTTTAACTTTTAATATAGACTTTCCTTTGTAACAATGTAACAATACATTCACTATACAATGTGAAGACATATGTATATGTATAATCCATATATCTGCATAAATATAAAAATGTATATTTTGAAATAAAAGTGAATGTTTGTATTAACCTGCAATATACGTCAATAATTATTATAGCGTGTATTAAAATTTATTTCAGAATATCTCAGCAGGAATAATCAAGGCAGATAGGAGCGAGACAAAACCGATTGACATATCTTGATAATGATTTATTTTACACACTTAGTTGACCTCTATACACAATTATACAACGATGAAAATTAAAATTCTGTCTATTTACCGCTAATTAAAGTCATCGACGATAATGATTTGTGATAGAGATGTGATAAAGTCAGTCGATTCTCTTCCGATTCACGTGAATCTGAAGAATCGGGTGACGTCTGCAGACTGTACGATTCGAGTTGACTTTTACACGAAACACTTAAACGTACGATCAGCAGAGTCCATATGTTACAAATCTCCTGTAAATAATGACGCCCGTACCTGCCATTAATGGACGTCAATCTCCATTCGCTGAAATCTATCTACACACGCATGATAAATTAAATAAATACAGGAATCACTCTTTGTTTAAGAGGAGGTATCACGATCACCAAGGACACCGATCGGAGCTCTCGTATCATCCAAACACGAGTTAAAAACAGAAACGAGTTCAGTTGGTTGCACGCACATAAATTGACACATTGCTAGCGGAGAAGGTAGATATATGAAATATCCAGTTTTTAATATAGATGCTTGATTCCACACGTCAAATTCATTAAGCATATTTGATTTTGAACTTTATATATATTTAATTATATACATAAAATGTATAAATTACACATTACTATCATATATTTCAAATTTTTATCCATCTGAAGAGATATAAAACCAATTTTCTATTCTATCTCATGTTTCCACCTAATAACATTCATGTAAGAATACCCAAACACTCAAAAATCAAAATTCTTCAAAAAATTAGTTTTCCATTAGAGTATTTATCCCTACAAAAACTTTAATAATTACAAGGAAAAGTTAAAAAATAACAGGACATTTTTAATTGATTTGAAAATCAAAAAAAGACCCTTTACTTTTTGATTTCTCCTAGTATTAGCAATATGTCAATTTAATCGTGCAACAAGATGTAGTTCACTGAATAGAATAGTTCTCGCTTTACGCGCTAAAGGAATGTATGCTCAACGACGAGGTATTGCACGAAGCATTCGAAAATAAGGAACAATAAATACTCCGGTGAATATCGTAAGGTCTTGTTTTCATCCTAGGACGACAGGACGAAATCGAGAAAGGACGCCTCCACACCGCGCTCGTATTTTTTGTACATTAAAAATCGTATACGTTCGTAGTGATACACTGACAATTGCCTATCTGTTATTTCATATTTATCGTTAGGTTTACCTAGATCTACCGTAAATTCGTAACTAGAATAGTCGGTTTTTCGCAGACGCTTGCAATCCACTGGTACCGCTTGGGGAATATCTTGTGCGGGTCAATGTCGCCATCGGAAAAATCAACGGCCAGCCCGAAATATATCACAATGTCCATGTATAGTCGCGTTCAATCGTAATGTTGACGTCATTATACTTATTACATTATTATTGTTATTATTAATATTAATATTATTGTTATCGTTGTATAATAATTATTATTACTATCATTATTGTTGTTGTTATTAATATTATTATTGTTATTATTGTTATTAGACGTATACTTTATTTACAAAACTTACGTTTCGATGACAACAACAGAACAATGTATAGTTGTAGCGTGCCGTAAAATTCTTCAAGAATGTAATATATGAAAATGTACGCTGACTTCTTGCATTCATCATTGAAACATTCATCTCTGAGAGAATCAAGTTGCATCTCGAAGCGCGACGAACGATGCTCCTTGTTTTATCTCAGATTTATTAAAAAAAGAAATAATAAAGTAAATTGCTCAATGCCCTTCTGGGAAAGAAATTATTATATCATAAGTGTCTGCATCTGCAAACGCGATCCTGTGTGATCTCCGTCTTAAACGCAAAGACAAGAAAGACTAGTTTCTCGTTGCGCATATTAATATATCGCTCTTTTCTCAATAGCAGAATCATAGAAGAGTTTTGCCATCATCTTAACATTAGAAGAGCCGGAATAATGATTTTCAGTTATGAATAAATTTTTCGCGAGTTTGTAATTAATATCAACGATACACATTGCAATAAAGATTTGCACTTATGTTTATTTAGAAAGCAATTTTTATTTCTACACAAATCACTTTTTTAAATATAAAATTCTGTCTCGGCTGTTTTAATGCAGATGAAAACATTCAAAGATTCTGTCACAACAAATAAGAGCTTTCAGAAATTGGTTTTCGCGCAAATATAAGATTCTTCAAACTAAAACAATAACGAATGCCGAAATTTCATTAAAAATATCATTTTGAAAGCAAGATCACAAACTTGCGCGTACAGTCTCGTTAAATGTTATTGCGATGCGTTGCAAGCATCGTTAAAAGCCGAACAATCTGTGAACAAGAGCAGCCGATAGCTCTATCGCATCTGCGCGAATCGAGTAATGATAATTGCAGTAATAATTCAGAATAATATGCCCTATCACGTCGATATTTTTACTATATTTACAATGTTGTGTATATATAATACTAAGATAACTTGTCGTATACGTCTCATTGCACCTCGCCACGCCTTCCGCTTTAATCTCCATAATTTGGAGATGTAATATGTATTTTTTTTCGCTGCGTTTAACCGTCGAGCGGGAAGTGTTTACAAGAGAAAAAACAAGTATAAAATAAAAAGCACTTGTCCTACGCCGTAATCAGTTTGTCACTTACTTATTCTTCGGAGCGTAGTTAAGTAATTTACAATTAGCGAGGTCTTAATCTCATCGACATTTCTTTAGCACGACGCAAACACTCGAAATGTCTCTAACGAGAGCAAAACGAGTAGAATTTAATAACAGCCTCAACAAATCGTATCATTCTGTACGACAATCGAGTTTTCATGATTATTTGGAAAAAATAATGCGTACATGAATACATGGAGCCGACCAAATTGTCTGATGCGAACATTCAGTGATCATATTAATATACATAGATTCGAAGTGATCACTCCAATTTTTGACCATCGTACATCTAATCATTGATATTCTCATATAGAATCATCAGAAATATTTGGATACATTATAATTACAGCGGCAGGATGCTTGATGTTATAATAAAACTAATCATATGGAAAACATTGATCACATTATTCAATATTTGGAGCTGTAATAAGAACGAATTTTTTGTAACACTGAACAAACTCTATTGATATTTTATCGAATAATTTTGCATTTTCATTGCCACAAAACATAGAATTTTTATTCAAAAAAAGAGATTCCATTAAATTATCAAAATAGAGAAAATGGATGACATGCAGTTGAAAGATTCATGTAGACCCGATAGTTCAGTTTTCTCCACAAAATATTAAATAAAGCTCTTATACCTGTCACAATTCAAAAAATATTTGACTAGATACTACTTGCCAGAAATGTTTACCCGTTACATTTCCCAATTACAAGAAACAAACGATGTTAATTATTGCAACAACTTCCATGCTACATCAATCAATCACTCTTTCTTACATTCATGGCATCGAGTCGATGGTTAGCGCAGTATTAGCAAGATACATTTGCAGAAACTGTAGTTTATGTTCTATATGCCGCGATGGTCCTAGGAAGGCTATGATAATGAGAATCTGTATTGCGCAAATTGTCGCTGTCGATACTGCCAGCAATTTCGATCCTCTACCCTGATTTTACCATCACTCTAATTTATAGAAGAGTACTCCTTTCATCGAGTCTTCGTGTCATCGTTGTAGCTGTTTCTTCTGGCAAGACGACAAATTTATGTATACCTCAAGAATATAGAAATCCAACACGTTGCGTTAAATTTCGGTGATTATCAAGCTATCATGACTCCTTGCCAATTATTCTCCTCCATCAGTCTAATCGTTCTAATTTCATCATTTTCTATATTTGCTGGCTTTACGTTTAAATTTAAAACAAATTTAAGCGAATTATTTTCGACCTCCGCCAGTCGAATTGAGAATAATCATTCAAATATCGCTCTGATCTTGACCTCGCCGCGCTGTCTTGACGTTAAATTTACGACCAACTAGATAAATATCTCCGATTGCGCTTTTTCCGTGGCCTCGCTCTTCTGTCAAAAGATTCAGTGACGGAAACACAGTTGATCTTACGGTCCCTTGACAGAACAGAGAGGAGTACTCGTTCCATGGATTACAGTAAATTCCTACCGGCCGGCAGTTTTTCCTCCGTAGAACTGAATATCAGAAGGCGTGCATACGACGCCTCAATAAACGGAACTGTACTCCAAATCGTGGCTGTACTGATGAGGCGGCCCTGGAGGCGGCGGTGGCGGCTGTGGACTGTATTGTTGCGAGGTGTCCGAAGCGCGGCGGTGCGCTCTAAGCGCAGCGATGCTGTGGGCGCCTCTCCAGTCGGACGCCTCGTTCGCGCTCACGTCGGCACCGACGCAGGAGACGCCGCCGCCTCCACCACCGGCACCGCCGCTGCCACCGCTGCCGGAAGTCGTGCCCGGCGAGCCCTGGCCGCAGTTCAGGCCGGAACCCATTCCGGCCTGACCACTCACCGAGGAGCTACCCGGTGGCGAGCCTCGAGACGCGGACACGTGAACACCACCTGCCAAGCAGAGGAGAACAGCAAATAAGCGCTTCTCTTCGTTCGGTTCTTCTTCATGTCACTGTGAATTTACGGGCAAGCGGCTTCTTCAGCGATCGCTTAGAACTTCTGATTACTGAGCCGAATGATCCTCAAACTGTGACTTCGTAACTATGTTTCTTAATAGTTTGCGATTATTAATAAGTAAGAAATATTTTTTGTAAACAGGCGATGATAAATATTGGTTAGTCAACAGTCAAACACGACTTTATCACTACGGACGAGATGGTGCATCCTGAAGACGATTCAGGTAGAAGCAATTTATAGGTACGATATTGCAGGTGCACGAACGTTTCATTCTCCCGCAGAAGATATTAATACGGTAGGCTGACAAAGCGCGGGGTGTGCTACCGGCTGTCATAAAGTCGTTTCCGCCTCCTCGCGCGCCACGCTGGTGGGCTCGAAGAACAACGGGGAAAAGGGACCATTTTATGACAGCATTGCGCCGAACACAAGTTTGCAGAGGACTATGGTAGCGGCCGCTTTTGAAAAGCCATATGAAAGAATGGGCGCCTAATGTACGTGATTTTATGATTTCTGTCGGCCGACTCGACGATTTGAAGCGTTGCTGCGGAGAAGCGCATCAGTGGATTTGCTGCGTTTATACGAGGTTGATGAAACTTAGAAATATACAAGGCAAACGCATGACTAAATTGAACGTAAATAAAGCAAGACACGTGAAATTCGGTGCGCATGTTTCATTAACAAACATCGAGATTATTTGCATGCGTTTTGCAACATTGAAATCTAATTTATAGAAATTGCGTCGACTTCCATTTCCGTATAAAATACATGATCTTTGCACTACACGCGGTATCTAAAAATCGAGCGTTTTGAAACACATTAATTTACGCATTATAGAGGTTTGCGCCGGTCCGATGTGGTTGTGGAAGAGAAATACCAAATGGAACTCTCCGATCGGCTAGGAAGTCGACGGCCATGCCGTCGGGTTACATTGCGGTGCTAATCATCATTGGTAACCGAAAAATAACGCTCTACTCTAAAAGCTATTTGCTCTAAGTATTATCCGCGGATAAAGGCGCACGGCCGGCTACAGGCTCAGGCAGAGCGTGTTCACTTTAAAGCTGTGTTCGCACATACACGCTCATGGAATACCGATTTTTCCTCCTCTCGAGTGACGCTACCCGGCGATAACGCTCGGTAATTGGCACCGTATAAGCGTTACGTGCTCGTGCATACACATATGTGCGCGACACAGATGTATGCTGCAGGCAGCATTGCAAAATTGTGTTACACCGAGTTTTCACCGTGAGCTTAATTTAGGAAAGCCCGACATGACGCAGCATTTAGACTATCACGTCTTTGCGATCCTATATTCAACAATGATTTATATATCCGATTTAGTTATTTTTATTTTTTATACGAAAAAGGAGTTTAACTTCACGGTAACACGATTATCACTGCTAAACCTGAATACTTGACACTTCCTTCTCATACACATTTCCTACTTGATAGAAGCATTTGATAAGCTTATGAATAGAATTCGTATTGCATTGACAAGTTCATTTACAGGGTTGATGACCCGCGTCAACATTGCAGCAAAGATATACCAATGAAAATAAAGTTTTAAGTGTCCCATGCATTTCACAAAAACAGCGCTCACTTAAGAGATCTCTTTTTAAATGCGGTTTACTGATTGCCGAGAATATACTGAAATAAAAAAGAATACTCTGCGTGAGAAGATGGAATCTTTTTATCGGTTTTCCTATTACATACATCTCGCCAATCCATTATTATTCACAGTTTATAAGCGTTAAAGTTCGACTTCGTGCAACTGAAAGGAAGGCAATAATACTTTACGTTAACAAATGATCCAATAATTTAATGGCCATCATCTTAGCATTTTTCGATCTTAACGTTAACATTCAATATTTCTATCTCGAAGTTTTCATGAAACGCCAAAATCATATCACTTCGCAAAGAATACAAGTGTTTCTGCATAAGCAAATATCTCGTTTTCACACTCAATGTAAAAGTTGCAGTCAAGGAATACTAGAAAGCAATTTTGTGAAAGAAGGAATTTCACACGCGGATTTATCCCCCAAAGCATCATTGAGAATACAAGGTCCCCGGGTGAGGTAAAGCGTAACTCAACCAAGACAGGTTGCATCGAGATGTTATGGTAAACATACAGCGAAAGATCTCGCACCTAGGTGCGAGATCGGGCTTGGAGTTTGCCTGCGTAAACAGACGGGAGGACGGAGTTTATGTTTCTGTCTCAAATTCCTTACGTGCAGCCGCATAACCCCTTCGAACCTTAATGCACCGTAACATTTAACGACTTCGTCAAAGAGACTTCCACGGCGCTGTTTGCACGTCGTCTTTTAGAGGACCACGGTCCAAAAGTTTGGCAAGACGATTATCGGCATACATATAAGCGGTCGGGTTGACGCGAACGTTAAGATTCTCCTGGGTGTGTCTGCTCACGTTTGAGCATGTCGCCAACTTAGCAACAATTCATGCTACTTGAATAAGCAACGAGAAAAATGTGGCGCGTGAAATGTTACATTCGCTCAAGTTATCCGTAGTAGGAAAATATAATCGCGCGTGTATAATACTTTTTATCTCTAAATAATCTATGATTATATTCTAAATCTATTTTCAAATGGACTTTAAATGATAATAAAAATAAGCAAAATAAAGTTGGCAGCATTTGTTATCTTAATTTCATAAATTATGATAATCAGTTCTTTTGTAGCATAAAAAGAAGGATATTTTGTCTCTCATGTATCAAAATTTTGCAACAGATTTTGAATTTACCGTGACTTACCGATAGAATTGAGTCCATAATTGGTATGGTAAACGGATTGCGACGGACTATTAATCGGGAGTCCAGAGTTGCCGAGACTCAGACTGGAACCTAGACTTCCTGTGCTCTGTTGACCGAGTTGTCCAAAACTACCCATCGCCATGCCACCCTGCAATTGTCCGAGACCTGCGGAACAGGTGCACACAACTGAATGCACAAGAAGTAATTAATACGAGTTTACGTGCGTGGTGACGTGGAATGTGCAAAGAAATGAAAAGGATTGGTTGGTTATCGGTGTCGGTACAACGTCGGTGAACAACCGGTGAAACCGATAATACACGTAAGTAATTTCAGTTGTCTCAGCCAGTGGACGGGCGAAATTAAATTAGGAAGCGAGCATCGTCGCGACTTCGTCTACGAAAATTGGTCTTTCCTTCTCATGTTGTTTCTTCTCCCGCTGGCAAACGTGCGAGATGCTAATTATATCGCATATTAAATGACATGACGAATTGTATGCAATTTGCACAGATGTGGATAATGTGTTTTTATTAAATCGCGGACAAAAGTGCCTATGTCTACGAGTTCTTTCGTTTTCATTACATTTGCGAACGTTACTTTTACTGTAATGGTACGTTTTAGCTTTTGAAATATATCTGTGTATGTGTGTTTTCTTTTCAAAATTAATTTTATTTCAAAAAATAAAGAAATTCCATATATAATTCGGATAAATTAAAAAGGTATATAAAAAACTCCGAATTATGTCGTTAATATTTTAATAAGTACTTTAATTAAAAAATTAAATTATTTAATGGAATAAAACTTTTTGCAATTTATTTATTTATGCAAATTCTTAATATTTATATCTTTGTAAATACAAGAAAAATCATTATAAAAATATAAGATTTATTAGATTTCTGTCAATTCTCTCCACATTATCAAAATATATTGTCTAAATATTTCATAAGGCAGTGGACAGTGGATTCAAAATATCTAACTTGAATATTAATGAAAAAATGAGAAAGATGTTCTGAAAATAAAATATTAAATTTGTGCTTCACATTGAAATCCGAAACTTATGTAATGCATCATCTAATTTTTAGATTTATCGAATAAAGTAAAGTAAAAATCAGTAATAAAATAGACAAGCATAAATTGAATGATTTTGTAATAAAGTCGCGATATTGAATTTGTAATAAAAATATTGTTATACACTATGAAATACTTCATTACTATATCAATATTTCATCAATGATCCGACTAATGACGTAACACACGTAACTGATACTCCGGAAATAACTGTCAAAGTATAAACAGTTTTTTTAACACTTCAGAAAACTTATATAAATTCACATTTATAAGTATTTATTGCACAAAGATAAATATCCGGTCCTTATAAGTAATAATGCAAGCGATCGAAAGAGTTTTTTCTGACCAATATTAACAGATGGATATTTTTTTTCTCTTCGAATTTCTTGTATAATAAAAGATATTAATATCTGACCTGTCCCCATTCCCCATCTGTCCGCAGGAGTATGGAACATTCCGCTGCACAAGTCAGAGCTCATCGGCCCGAAGGGAGGCAAGCCGTGTGATGGTAGCAGCGATCCCGAAGACCGAAACACATTGGTCGTCTTCTTGCGCTTCTTCCATTTCGCCCGTCGGTTTTGAAACCACACCTATGCATACGGAAAACAGCATGCAAACAGAACATATTAGTTATTATTGTCGTAGTCTAAACAAATTCTCTCATTTTTTAAGAATTCCACACAAAAAAACATTCCTTATTATGTTTGTTCATAAATAACATAAGCATTCTTGCATTTTTGCTCACAATATTGGTTTTGGCTTACAAATAATTCTACCAACCAATCGATTTCAATAGCACGTTAAAAGTTAATGAGTTTCACTCAATTTATCAACGAAATTGAGAAAAAAAATCATTAATTGTGAGTTGACTGTAACTCTTTCAACGAATCACTGTTTTAGTCTGACGTAATCGAAAATCGCATTTTCGATGATGACAATTCCTTTGTCCGCTCCTCCTTTCCGCGATAACATTTTTTTTTGCTCAATAGGACGCAACCAAATCCAACCATTGCGACGGTAAGATGTCCCTAGGTGTTACGACAATATCTTCGACCCCACCGCGGGTAGCTATTAGCCGACGTTATGAGCTGTTGATTCTGGCCACGTAGTGGCCCCCTAAGCTGCCGGGGTCCCGGGGACTTGATTTATTGATATCGCATGCAAAGCCCGCCTCTGTGTTCTCCGATATACCTACCTACCCTCGCCCTATCTCGCGACCACCACCAACACCAGCACCACCACCACCATTATCGTCTCTCTCTCTCTCTCACTCCCGTCCTTCTCCGCAGACTACAGTCCCTTTTCTGGCACGGTAGCGCACACTATAGCTATCTCATATGTGCCCATAAATTAGTACTTTAGTATTAGAGCGCAGGATGCGCGCTTGCGCCACCGCATACGCCCGCGTGTACGATCACACACGCGCGTGACAACAGGACACGTATGGAGAGAAGCCAGCACGGCGAGAAGACCGAGAGGGGTGGCGGTTCGAGGGGTGGAAATACCCTCCCCGCAAACATACGAGGATTATACGAATCTAATTGGATATATGGGATTTACATGCTCCAGTATACCTCAGCTATTGCTATGAAGCAATCGTTGCACTCTTATTCTGAAGACGCTTAAATGTCACACGATTTGGAAGTCTCCTCTCCAGATGAAACGAGCCATAAAACGGATGTCAATTTTTAATTCGTCATTTGTTATCGTTTGAAAATTTTACGTGTGTGTATATATGTGAGAGATAACCATTCAATAATATGGTATAATAAATTGCGTGAAATTTATTATGATTTTAAAGGTATTTGAAGTAACTCGACATAAGATATTCAATCCTTTGTCATAATTTTCCATACATTTAATTCCTAACTGAGCACTGAGTAATGATGTCATTTTTGGCTAAGTTAATGTTTATCATCCCGTGATATTTGTCGGAGGCTCGTAACAGCTGGCGGGTCTCTTGACTCTCAAGGATGGACGCTCGTGACGAGAGAATGGCATTAGAGCTGGGTGGTGTTAAGTGCATTGGGACCGAATCAGCGTCTATATATCAGTCAGTGGCGTAGAATCGAACACAGCTTTCCTCCATCTCCATAAAATTCACTACATCTTTATAAAAGCAAATATATCTATGACATCGCATTTTTCTTGACAGACGCTGCATCTCCACAGCTTCTAATGCAAATATAATGAGTTGATAAAAACTTCATAGTAAACTGATTATGTATGCAAGACATTCAGGTTTATGTGTTTTTTGCAGAATTGTGTCCAGAGATATTTGTCTACTATATGTTAACAAATATTTGATCGCTTATTCAAATCGCCTATCGAATTTTACTACCGTTAATATTTAATGGTTGACTATTGTCATTTGGACTCGTTAGAATTCAAATATTCAAATTTATGTCTGCTAATCACTACTGTATATTAGCATTACTATTCTTCTATTTTTGTATGTTTAGAGCATTTTTTCTTTATGATTAAAACTTCAGGTTGTCTATATATTCTTCTATTTTCAATTCTATATGTATAATTTTTTCAGATAACAGTATCTTTCAGATTTTTGTTTGTCTTTTTTTTTTTAGTACATATCATCTTCCCTGCCGACATATCGTCTCCCGGTCGCAGACGTGTCGATTTCACGGTAGAACTACGATGAAACCACGACTAAAAGCCCGTGGATAATTCGCCGTTACATGCTGATACAGTCGAGAAGAGGGAAAAAGCACGGGAGAGACTGCCTACGCGCAAATCGCGCATTATCACATACCCCGCGTACAAGTGCATCGAGCCTATACACGTATGGCAGAACTTCCGTTAATTAACGCGGGCAGATGCTAATGACTTGTGTTACGAAATAACGCACAAACGTGTGCTTTCGACATGCGTACCCGATACAGGAAAGTAGCAGCGAGTTCTTCATTGGTTTGAATCAAAGATTTACATTACAGAACGACTAGGAGTATCACATACAGAACACAATTATGCTATACATTTCAATGCATGCTAAAAATTTCAATTTAAAAGTTAAATAATTAATTTGAAAAATTTGCAATAAAATTAGTCGTGCAAAACAAATAAAATACATACTTCCACTAATTCGCACTACGATAATGTTATCGATAAATTAAAACTTTGATACAGTGCATGCAAAGATATAGTGAAGCATATATTAATAACTTTGTCTTGTATAATTTTGAATAATACGATCGTTAAAAATAATATTTAACGAGGAGAGAAAACGTTATTACAACTAAAAATAGATAAAATTTCTATAATTATAACAAATTTAATGTTCATGCTCCAAGCATGTGAATAGTGTGATGTGCAATGTACATGATAGTTTCCTTTTAGAACCGATCAATATTTTAACAAGCATTTCTGCATACACGATGAACCAAAGTAATGCATTATTTCACATTTCACGATACAATTTCGATAAATTTTAACAGCTATTAGTTATAAAATCTTATTTGTATCAATAAGTAGGTATAATTATTAATTTCGTCTGTAATCTTTCGCTTAAAATGTTCGAATATTACTCTGTGAAGAAACATTTTATTTTAAAGAATGCAATTTATTATTAATGTTAATACTATCGTATAACTTTCACGAATCGCAGCAGCTTTTTAAGTAAAGTAAAATATACAAGTAAAGAAAATTATGCTCGTTTCACACATTATCGTTCAAAGGTATATCGTAGTTTTAATAATGTGAGATAAAGTATGACACGATAAAATTAGCATACATTGCATATTTATTGCGTTACATGTGAAACAATGCACTACTTTGGTTCATCTGATAATCATTGTCATACATAGAACGAAATCGATAGGTCTATGCCCGAAAGGGCTTTATATCTTTAGAAATTCTATGAATTCTCCGATCGTAGTATCGATACTTTTAATTAATTCAGTACAGAATGTCAGCGCCATAGGAATGCGATTTTTTTATTCATTATATAATGTCATTAATTAAACATGAAGCTTAATACATAATTTCGCGTATTTAAGCGACAATAAATGTCGTTAACTTCTCAAAAACGTCAATATAATAAAATAATAATTACATTCGCAGAACAATGTTAAAGAAATATGCAGCATAAAGGACAGATCAGCTTGTTGACAACGCCAATAGAAAATTAGAAGGAAAGTTTCGTTTAGATTAAACGGCGGTTCATGCGAAAGGATAATGCGCGAAAGGTGAGGTACCGCAACTGGAATAGCCCGAGACGCGTCGATTTCTTGACGACGCCTATAGTGGGGCGGAAAGAAAGGTCTTGTTTAGATTAAACTGCGATTCACGCAAAAAGATATTGCGCGTAAGGTGGGGCACTGCAACCGGAATGATCCGAGACGCGTCGTTCTTTTGATAACGTCCGTAATACTACAGAAGAAAAGTCTCGTTTAGATCAAGCGACAATTCACGCAAAAGGATAGTGGAACACTACAACTGGAGTGATCTGAGGCCGTCATTTTCTTGACGCTATAGTGGGATAGAAGGAGGTTCCGTTTAGATTAAACGACGATTCTCGCGGAAGGATGGTGGGGTATTGCAACTTGAATGGTCCGAGATGCTTTTCTTATATCGCCAATAGTGAGATAGAAGGTTTTAATTTGTTTTGATTAGAAAACGAATTGGATAGACGCGTCATTTTCTTTATATCGCCAGTAGTGGGATAGAAGGAAGTCCTGTTTAGGAAACGATTGGATAGTGAGACGTCTTCAATTCGAGAAAGAGAAAAAGAGAGAAAGATGCGCGAGATTTCTTAACAACGGCAATGAAATACAGTAGATGGAGGACTTATTAAGACAAAGCACGATGATTCACAAACGAGAATGACTTTGCTATTGTCGCAATTTAGTACTTCAAAATGCACTGTTTTTATGCCAATAGAGTAGAATAAAAAGTAAGTTTTATTGAAACAGAGAACGATAACTGTGTATCGCGTAAAAAGAATTCGTATTAAATGGAAAAATTAAATTTTATGTATATGTATACATTTTTAGTTGACGCTAGTTTCTTTACATCTCTTGTAGAAATATATTAAAACAACACTGTTTTGCATCTGTATAATAATGTTTCAACAAGCACGCGTACTTGGCGTCTTTTTACTTTTTCATTAAAGGTATTTTTAATAGATATAACGTGTAAGACGTGGTAAATAATAAAAGATATTATCAATAACAAAGAACTTATCGAAATTCCGCGATCGTATCAATTTCGTAGCATCGAACGATTTTATATTCTTGCACCAGTTATTAATCTACTAATAAAAAACGTTCAGTTCTCTCTCCCTCTCTCATGAATCACAGTCGATATCAGTGTTTCATTGTTAGAGCATGGATTCGAAAAGGTGTTCGAAGAGGAACAACTGGCATGAATCGCGCTGGAACACACCTTTCGATGACTAAGATGCCCTGACTGACGCCTTTTCGTAAGATATAAGCGCTCTGGCTCGGAGCAACCGGCGCGGCGGGTCAATTAGGAACATTGCTTTTTAAAAATTGATCAATCACTGCTTCGTTGGCGCGGGGGCGCGTGCGCCGTGGCAGCTGTTCCCAGGAAGCACCTGGGATCAGGATGAGGG